ACCACTGATTTTGATGATTAACGTTAGCACCTCTGTCCAACAGCATCTTAACACCATCTACATGTTCTCTTTGAACAGCAAAATATAGTGGTGTAACACCTGGANTAAAGAAAGAAATATATGTANAATTAACATAAACTCCTTGTTGTAAAAAATGTTCATCAATCTGTCAATATCCTTTCTCANCTGCAAANAGAAGAGGAGTTNTACCGTTATTGTTACGGGCGTTAATGTTAGCTCCATGATTTATTAGTAATTCAGCAATTTCTATGTCCTTATTTTTCATCGCATCGTGAAGCGGAGTTGTGCCAGACCACTGTGTGTGATTATTAACGTTAGCACCTCTGCCCAACAGCATTTTAACACCAGCTACATGTCTTTGTTGAACAGCGAGACACAGTGGTGTAACACCTGATGTAAATGTAGATATATATATAAAATTAACATAAACTCCATGTTTTAAAAAATGTTCAAAAATTTATATATATATTTTCTCAGGTGCAATATAAAGTTGTACCTGACTTATCACTAGCATTAATGTTAGCTCCATGATTTAATAGTAATTCAGCAATTTCTATTTCCTTATTTTCAATTGCATTGTGAAGCAAAGTTCTGCCACACACACACACACACACACACACACACACACACAAACTGATCTTCAGTGTTAATGTTAGCACGTCTGTCTAGAAGCATCTTAACAATTTCTATGTCACCATTTATAACAGCAAAATGAAGTGAAGTATTATAAGATTCGTCAGTGGGTGCGGTCAAAGTCTCACTACAAATGTTTGGAANCGTTTTGAGAGCGGTCAATCGAGCACTTCGAAGTATTCTAGCAATACGTATGACGTCATGAATACGTCATCATTTTCGTTTCCAGCTCGCTTCCATCGCTGCTACCGAAGAGGTAGTGTAGTTGAAGCATTNTATTCAAAAGAGTACAAGCACGGGAAAGTGACATTCTATGTGCATTCGTTGTTAACATGTATTTTTCGAAAAAACATGCCACAAATTACTTTATACGATCCAGAAACTCAGAACACTTACATAATGAATGTGACAGAAGAAGATGCAAGAAGAGCTAATGAAGGTAAGATAAATATTTTGTATAAAAAGAAAAAAAGAGTTTTATAACCTATTCTTTAATCTATTATTTTATAGTTTGTTACATCTGGAAATGTGTCAAAAAATTTACATTAAGACGAAATATATNCATTAAAAATGAATTACACATAAAATTATTGTTTATAAGCAATTGTNTTTATACAAAGTGCTCGAAAATAAGTTTTGATGTAATATATGATAAAATCAAGTAGAGAGTTAGAGATATATTAACATTTCTGTTTTTTTTCAAANAGATGTGCACTTTGCAACTTATCTNTTAAATAAATATATATCTCAGACACCTCAATTAAACAACTCAATTTCTGATATAAATTCTAACGTTACTAAGAATGTAATCAGTACAAATACTAGTAAGTATTACTATTCATATAATTTATGTTATCATTAACATAAACATTAAATTATCATTATAAATTAATATAGAAATATTTATAATAGTTATATACATAATTTGATTTTTATAGCTTCTGTAACTCATGACATGGAGAATGTCACAAATGTAGTACAAGCATCTTCACAAAATGATGATTCTGAAGAAAAAGGTATATCAACGTAGACAGACATCCATCCATCCAGACATCCATTAGACATCTATTAGATGTCGCATGGCGCTGTTGACGTCTNATAGACGTCTAATGGAGTTTATGTNCTGTGTGGGAAGTTTTTGCTATATATGTTTCGAAAATACATTTATAAGATATTTGAAAACAAATGAGTTTAAAAGTGCAACATGCATCGTTTCTACTTACAGATAGTTTTCGTTGGCCACACGAAGCAATACTTTTATTNTTAAGAATCTATAGAGATAATGAACATCATCTTACAAGCGGTAAAACAACACATAAAAAATTTTGGGAAATAGTTTCTTCTCAATTAATTGAAAATGGTTACAACGTAACAGGCATTCAATGTAAAAGTAAAATGTCAGGGTTAAAAAACACGTATAAAAGTGTAAAAGACCACAACGCCAAAAGTGGTAATAATAGGCGAACATGGCGATACTTTGATGTAAGTAGAATAAATCTATAAGAAATGTTTTCTATTAAGACTACGTTTTATAATGTATCTATCATATTATTTTTATTTAATTTTAAGTTTAATTTTTATTATTTTTATTTAATTGCTCAATATTTTTGTTCTAGATTATGGACAAAATGTTTAGCAAAAAACCATGGGCGGAACCACTTCTTACATTAGAAAGCAGTTCAACTATAACATCTTCTGATGAAAAACCTAAAGATATTGGACGTCGAAGATCCAGTTCACTTTCATGTGAAGATAAATTACCTTCTAAACGTAAGTAAGTAGTAGTAATATAATATGTATGTATGGAATAATATATTATCAAGATTATTGTTTATTATAGGCAAGAAATATAACACGTTGGAGAAAATGATTGAAAAAAATGCTGCTGCACGACAAAGAATGCACGAAGAAGCAATGTCACGGCAAGATAAACTACTAGATATTTTACAAAAATTTCTTCAGCAGTAATGTAAATGATTACATTTATTAATTATTAATTAATTATTATTAATTATTATTAATGGAGATATATATTTATATATTATAAAACTCTCTGTAATGTATATCTATTATAAATATTAGTATTGCATGCGATATAACAAATTACTATATAAATACTGCGTTTTTTATAGTATGTTNCCAGCAATTTTCTAGATTGCATATCAGTATAATAGCTTTACGGTAGCAACTTTTATATCTAACAATATGTTAATTTGTTTTTCTTTATGTCACATTAAGTTTAAAAACTAATTTTTGTTATTGTTGTATGCCGATATATCTTACTAAGTTTTTATTTATCAAAAAGACTGAAAAAGTGCAATCTGTCTTCTTAAAGCACTTAATTAAAAAATGTTACAATAATAATATAATTATATAGATATATAAAAGGGTGATACTCTATTGACCACAGTACGATTCGACACCGCTCGATTCGACACAGATTTATTCGACACCA